CAATGGCCCAATCTCGGCTCACTGCAACCTCCACCTCCCAGGTTCAAGTGATTCGCCTGCTTCAGCCTCCCAAGTAGCTGGGACCACAGGCACACGCCACCACGCCCAGCTAATTTTGTGTTTTTAGTAGAGACGGGGTTTCTCCGTGTTGGTCATGCTGGCCTCAAACTCCCGACCTCAGGTGATCCGCCTGCCTCGGCCTCCCAAAGTACTGGGACCACAGGCGTGAGCCACCAAGCCCGGCCAAAAGAAAAACTTTTCTAATGTAGATTATTACATTTGCTAATTAGTCAACTTGCTTGTGCCTGGATTACTGTGAATTTAGCTTTCCTGCAGAAATAGCACCTGTTCACTGAGGGTCAGTACAAGGTAGTAGGGAGCTGTGCACACTTGAGAGCCATTAGGGTCGGATTCAAATCCCATGTCCCCTGGGCAAGTGACTCACCTGCTCTGAGACCATTTCCTCCTTCTATAAAAGGGGACTAGAATAGTACCTGCATTCTCCAGTAGTTGCTATTACAAAAACCAGCCACAATGTATTAAGTGCCTATAATGGGCCAGGTACTGAGTTTCTTTTTTTTCCTTACATGTATTAACACTCATGACAACTGTATAGGTTTGTGTTTTTGAAGTATAACTTACAGTGAAGTGCTCACATCTTCAGTGCACAGCTCAATGAACTTTCACATGTATACTCTATCTTCTAATCAAACCTGAATCATCATAGATCAGTTTTGCCTGTTTATGAACTTCACACACATGGGCTTATATGATATGTGCTCTTTTGTGGCTGGTTTCTTTCACTCAACTTTGTTTTTTACAATCATCCACATTGTTGTGTATCAGTTATTTGTCCTTTTATGTAGCTGCATAGTATTCCATGGTGAGACGATGCCACAGTTTGTTTATCCATTGAACTAGTTGCCATCGTCTTCATCATCGCCATCATCCTATTTTGCAAATGATGAAATTGGGATCTGAACTTCTTACTAAGTGTTTAGCTTAAAGTCACAGAGTGGCCTTGAAGCCAAACAAGGACTTGAACCCAGGTCCCTGTAACTCCAAAACCAGCTCCTTACCCTGGACAATACAGCCTCGCACAGCCTTGGATTACTGGAATTGGCAGAAATGAAAGCTGACCTGTGTGATGACGAGCTCCTTCTCCCTGAGGTGCATTTGGAGTTGGGGGCAGCTACCTGTCTGGCTCCAGGTGCTGAGAAAATTGCCTTAGTTTTGGCCATTGCCCGTATTTATTTTCATTGCAACCCAAGCTGCTAGCTCAGGTGAAGTCATCACTCTCAGCCCTGTACTTTGAAACCAGGGCCTTGCCAGCGTTTCAAAACAACTGCAAACAGCCTCAATGTGGAGGAGGCATCCTTGTCCACTGACCAGCAGCTGGCCCTCATGGGCAGCCCTGCCCAGGCTCCTCAGAGTCTAGTTTCCTATGACAGTAACTCAGCTGTGCGGGAGTCCCATCTGCGGCTCCCACAGAAAGCATTGTCAGCCACGTTTCTCAACACAAGCCTCACCTATCACGAAGTGAGACCCTCAGTGCTGACCTAACCTCAAGAAAAGGCTCAGGTTTTGCCTTGCTTTCCAACCTTCAGTATATCTGCCTGCTGCCCAGTAGGCCAGTGGCAGGCCTTAGAAGGGCCACCTGCAAGGAAGCAAGGGGTGACCAGGGGCCTGGCTAACCTCCCCGCCTCCTCCCGCTCTGAACTCAGGTAGCCTCCAGTCAGTCCAGCCAGACGTGATTAAATGGTTGGCTACACACAGGGATGGAAGACCCCGGGGGAAGAAGGGCATGGAGCCAACTCCCCAAGGCAGCCCCAGGGCACCCTTTGGTCTGTTGATCATTAACAGAAGCCACCTCATGGCAGGCAGAGAAGGGGAAAGTCCAAGGGGATGGCCTACCTCCTCTTCCCAGACTCCATCTCCAAATGTGCCAATGCAGGGCCTCATGGGAGGTGAGGTCATGACACTCAACAGAGGGGGTGTGTGTAGAGGCATCTAATCCAACTGGTTGCCTCCTGTGTTCATGCAGAATGTCCACAAAAGGCCAAGGGAGAGGGCAACTAACACTGATCGATTTGCAGTTACTGTGTGCCAGGAGCTGTGCCAGCGTCCCAGCCTACAGCACTGTAGCAGAGTGGTGAAATGCAGTGATGGAGAGTGATGGAGCTCACCTGCCTGTGTTCAAATCCTGACATTGTCTCCCTGTGTGACAAATTAGTGAACTTCTCTGCACCCCAATTTCTCCATCTGTATAAAGGGAATAGTATAGAGCTTCCTCCATGGGGTCATTATGATCATTCAGGCAGTTAATACACCGGAAGTTCTTTGAGGACTACCTGGCATTTACGAAAAGCTGTCATGACTAATGGCTAACTTGATGTCACAGTAACCCCTTGGGATACAGCTGAAAAATCCAAGGTTGAGTCATTTACCCAAAGCACAAGCTGGTAGATGGGGAGCTGGGATTTGAATCCTGGTCCAAAGGCTCCATTCGACACTTCTTCTTTCTTCATGCCCTGGATCCTTCCCCTGCCATGACCCACTCAGCCTCTTCAGTAACCAGAGTTTTGTGATCCATTTGACTGTAACATTCATCTTTGAACTGACCCACAATCTCAGTTGTCCCTCAATGCCCTCCTTTCATGAGTGTCACTGAACTATAGCAGGCCCCTAGCCTTCCTCCTGACAATGAGGCCTCCAGGCCAGGAAAGGCATTGCTCAGTGGCCAACATAGCTCATTTCTTTGAGCTGCTCCAAGGGAAGACCTTCATCCAATAGCCAGAGAGTGTGTTGCAGGACCAGCAGCCACAGAGACCCTGCCCATCCGTGGCAGACCTGGTGCAGGCCCCTAAACCCAGCCTTCAAGATGCCCTATCCTCCAGGGTAAGCGGTGGAGAAGAAGGCATTGTGCCCAGGATTGGCCTGGCCTTTCCTGACACACTTCCCTTGTGAAGACCTTCCCTTCAGATCCTTCGGCATGGTTCCTATCCTTCCCAGATGCAGAGGAGTTCAGAGATGGGGGTTTCTTGCCAGCTCTGGGTTCACACCTCCCTGGCCTCCCTGTCAGATTAGACTACAGGGCTGCTGCTGAGGCCCCTTCTTCTAACATCCTGGAGAAATAATGGGCCGGAAAGAGTCTGCTGTTCCCTTTCCCAAGGGCCATCTCCTCTAAGGACTCGATGGTACACATTCAGACTCTTGTGGCCACCACACATGGGCCTGCGTGACCTAAATCCCAGCCTGAGTGAGTTCCCCAGGGAGACACTTACATGGGGTAAAGGGTTAAGGCCCAGGGACATGGAGCTTCCCCACAAGATAAGGAGTTTCCCCTGAGCTTCACAGTCAACCCCCACCCTCCAGGGCCTCCAGTAGTCAATGTCTCTATCTTGGTTATCTAAGTCAAAGGACTGATTCCCATAGAGGAAATTGAGGGGTGGACAGGAGGTATGCCTGGGCCTCTAGGAACCTAACCAGGATCACCGTGAGCGGGGAAGTTAGAAAGGTGTCTGCCACATGCTCAGGTATGCCTGCAGGGAATGAGCTCAAGGCGAATGATTTTTTGCTTTTACTCCAAGAGGAAGATCACGTGGCACCACCACCAACCACCACCACCACCTCCACCCATGCACAAAGTCATTTCCTCCTTAAGGGACAAGAGGCCTCGGTTTACTACAGTCCTAAGAGCTGCTTTTCCCCTCCCTATACCACCAGCCCCTGCCCTGGAACAGGTAATAGTCTCTACTTTTCTACTTCACCCCACTGACCCCCAGTAGCTATCTGCTGACCAGGGAAATGAGTTGTGAATAGAGGTAGGTCTTCGAGTCTCAGGGACATCCCTGGCCTGCCCAATGTTCTGCTGCAGACCTTCAGAAGAGGCCTGGTGGAATCATGGTGAAAATTCATCTGAACCCCCAAAACTTACTGGGTGTAAGGAACCAAAGGCAAGTGAGCCTCAAATAGCAATCTCTGCCTCTCCCCAAAGAAGTCCTCCCTAGGCTCAGACTCAAGATTTTTAGAAAGTTCCAACTCCTCTGGCAGGTGAAATGCTACCTCTAAGTGGTCATCTGGTCTTGGTGGGGGTTCTTCTAGCCAAGGAGACCCCACCCTTCCCAAGATGACAACACACCTAACTTTGCACAGCATCTGAGATTGTAACTCAGGTGGCGGGAACCCTTGGTGACTTGCTGTGTTGTTGGCCAGCGTTAATACTCACTTCCCCTTAACCGCCCTCCAAACACAGAAGCATGTCAAATCCAGTCCCAGTCCTCAGTTCTTGTGACTGAGCCCCTCACCCTGCTGGCTATTCCTCTCCAAGCAGGCAGTGCTTCCTTACACCCACCCCAGGTGGTAGGTGCTGAGAGGCTAGGACTGAGGTAAATTACCTGTAGGAAAAATGAGCCCAAGGCACCCCAAAAAAGAACTCACTCAAATCCAAGCCTGCATGTGTGCCATGCGGTGCTAGGTCCTCCTTAATTATTTCAGCAACACCAGCCAAAGGAATGAAGAGTACAGGCTGGGTGGGGCAGACATTCAAAAGGTTTTGAATGTCAAGACAGGTTTCCCCAAAAACCCTGAGCCTTGGCTCCCCAGAATCACTGAGGCCACACAGGTGTCAGCAGGGCTGGGCCGGGCCCGTTGTTATTCAGCCAACAACTATCACACTGGGCAGTCTTTTCAGAAGTAATACAGCAGGAAGTACGGGCTCCTTTGCGAAAACACACACACACACACCGTCCCACACCTATAAACACACAGACGCTCACGCACACACACACACACACACACACACACACACTCCCCAACCTCAGTCAGCAAACTGCCAGCATCAAGGAAGGGAGCTAAGGCATAGCTGTAGGGATGAGATTCGGACAACCACAGCCTTCTCTCCCCCTCCCCTGCCCCTCCCCAGGACCTGCAAGGGGAGAACCTTACTGGCAAAGTCAAACCAAAACCAAGTAAAACCAGCTCCACCATCAATGTTTCTTGAAAAAACGGGGTTTATTGATTTTTAAACTGCAAATAGTCGTTACAAAAAGTTTTTTTTTCTTTTAAATAAATTCACACAAAGAAAGAGAAATAGAAAGCGACGGTAGTGACCAGCAAGAGGAATAATAATTACATTCATCTTAATGTGTGTGTGCCAGTTCTGTTTACATTAACATTGGAAAACTCCAGACCTGGAATCCAGAACCTCAAATCTGTGAGTGGAATGTCTTGAGATGGGCACGTGGAAGTCAAAGGGTTTCTCTCTTTTTTTTTCCCTTTTAGAAGCTATACATAAAAAGTTGTTTTCCTTCTGTACTGTCACAGAACTTTTACATACATTCTCAGTCCTAGTCGTGAAAGGCCTAAAGAGAAAGAAACTCAATTTGCAGTCCAACACAAAGGGGGGAATTTCTAAAATAAATAATCCAACAGTTTTTTGCATTTTTTTAAATTAATTTTTCATTTTTTTAAAATAAAATAACCAAAAAAGTGTAAAGTTACAAAAAAATGTCGTTGAAGAATAATATATTAAAACTGTGGAAAAAAAGGAAAAAGACACGTCACAAAATTTTAAGATTAATATGAAGATCATAATTTAACATAAAAGAATATATTCTATGGATTTGTCATCCCGATAAATATGAACAAAATTAACAAAAAAAAGCATAGTTTGGCAATAAATACGTTTTGATAAGTTAAATAAGCTTTTTTATATTGATGTGCAGTGACAAGCAAAATTTTTGCTCTCCAATTTCTGAAAGTTATATGAAGTTTAAAACCCAGGGAAGAAAGCATGGCGTGAGTGCTCTAAGGATAGACCTACTGTATTCTAGAGCAAAAACCATTAAAGCTACTTCTACAGGAAATCGTTTTACACAGATATTGTATGTGGAATGAATACCATTAACTGCTCACCCCTTACATTTTTTTTTTAGCTTTTCTCTCATTTTTTTTGTTGTTATTTTTTTTAAAGATGTCACATATGAACTGGGGAACTTTAGCACCAAAATCAAGTCTCTCATAGTCCATCTAGCTTCCCCTTCCTCCCCACTTAAAAAAAGAAAAAAATTAAATCACAAAGTCCCACTTAAGTCAAAATCTTCATCCGCTTTTTCAGCCTTCCTTCCTGCAGACCTACACAAACCCAGGCAAGATTAGTCAACAGGGGTTCAGATCGGGAAGAAAAAGGTTTTGAATGTCAAGATAGGTTTCCCCAAAAACCCTAGTCTGGCAACAACTCTCCCAAGGGGCTGGGGGGTCAGGTGGAGAGGTGACACCGGGAAGAGGGGAAGAGTAAGTGAAATCAGGGAAGGTGCAGTTGTGTCGCCAGTGGAGGGGGCTGCTGGTTCCGGGTCTCCACCTCCCCCATGGGCAGAGGCTCCGGGAGGCCCACGGGTGCCCTCTGGCGCTGAAGAGGTAATGTAGTCACAGTGACAAAGTTAGATTACAAGGCACTAAGTTGCTTCTGTAAACTGTTACTGCTTTTTCTTTTGTGATTTGGCACTTAAGGCTTAAGCCAGAAAAAAAAAAAAGAGGCATCTACTGACAAAATATGGGACTTGTCTGTTATGAGTGGTAAGTGGGCTATAAATCCAGGGAGGGGTTTCAAGCCAGAAGAAGCTACTGACAATTTGACTTGTCCTTATGTTAGGTGGGGTAATGAGGGGGGGAGGGAGGGGACATTCTGAGGTGCTGGGGGAAAGGGGTTGAGCTTAACTTTGTTAATGTAGGGCTTGTGGGGAATCAGATGGGTAGGGAGAAGAGGGTATGAGGTGTGGGTGCAGGGTAGGGGTTGGAGTAGGCAGGAGGTCCCTCCCTACCCTGGCTTAGTCATCTGAGATGGAAAGTCTGCTGAAGATGGGCAGGCGTCTTGAGTTGTCCAAGGTCGGGGAGTCTGAGCCACTGTGGCTGCTGCTGGAGCTGCTCAGGTAGCCCTCCTGGTCCGAGAGAGAATCCTGAGGGCTGGGGGGAGAGTCAAACATGTGAGGGGACTCGGACATGGGCCGGAAGAGGAAGGTGGTCGGGGAGCCACCCCCGGGGAGCCCCATGCTAGGGGCAAACAGGCTTGCCAGCTCCTGGCTGGAGAAGGCAAAAGGGTTATTGGTGCCATCGGGCAGGGTAGGTGAGCCCAAGAGGTCATCGGCGCTCAGGATGGGGGGTGGGGTGATGGACGTGGGGCTGTCCAGCAGCCCGGTGGCAGCGGCGGTGGCAGCGGCACTGGGAAACCCAGCAAAGCTAAAGCTATGCTGGAGGCGGGGACGGTCAGCGGAGAGGTCCCGGGCCCCGGCCAGGGCACGGCGCTCTTCTGCGTTGTGGATGAAGTGGCAGCGGGGCCCATAGGGGCAAAAGCCGATGGTGTGGAAGGTGCGGCACAGCTCCGTCTTGTACTTGGGGTGGCGGGTCAGGCTGCGGAGCTCGTGGATGCCGTGTGCGAACTGGCACTTGTCCCCGTACTTACAGGCACCGTTTTCCTCGAAGGGGCGGCACAGCTCCGTCTTGTAGCGGCTGGAGTTGACCTGGCCGCTCCCAGGCTGCTTCTGGGTAGGGAGCAGCCGCTCGCCCCCTTCAGAGAAGGAGCGGTCTCGGAAGCGGCTGTCCCGAGAGCTCAGAGCGGGGGCTGGCTCACCCTTGAGGCTGCTGAGGAGCTGGTTCTGGTGGAACTTGGAGCTGGGCAGGGTGACTGAGTGCCTCCGAGGGAAGCCCCCACCAGCAGGGGTGCCCACTGCCTTTCTGTCCAGCAGGCAGCCCCCTGCACTGGGTGCACTGTAGTTGAGCATCTTGTTACCCTGGAGAGAGAAGAGAAAGGATGGTAAGGACGGAAGACATCTACCAGGATGTCCACAGCCCTCTCCACAATCACTAACGCCCGTCTGTCTCAAAGAACTCATCTCCACCTCTGCTCTAGCAAGCCCCCTTCCCTCTCTCCCTCCCATAGACCATTCACCTGGGTTTATTTTGGCCTCACAAATAAGAAACCACAAAATCCAGACTCTGTGACAAGGACCCTGCTCCATGCCGACTCCTGCAATGCAACCCCCATATCCTCTGACCCCAAAGCTACCACTTTAATCTGTAAAGTTCAACTTTTTACTGCTCAAATAGTTTCTTCAACTCCAAATATCTCCAACAACCCAGACCTCTCCAGATTACCCTCCCCTAACAAAACAGGTAAATCTCAGAGAGGAGACTATTATAGGCTAGGTTAGGTCCCCTTCTAATCAGTCCCTTCTTAATTGATACCCCCTCCCTCAAGACCCGGCCTAAGAAGACTCTCAACTTCCTCCTTCCTTTGGCAACAGGTTTTCAGACTGCCTTTGCTTTTTCTTGTGGGGAGGAGTTTGGGAGCCTGGTCTGAGGTTGGGGGAGACAGGGAAGTGATTCCTGAAAATAAAACTCATTGCCCTAAGTTCCCAGAAGAGGTATTTTCCACAATGATCTCTCTCACCATTCCCACTCACGCCCAGCCCATCCCGTCCCCCTTCACTGTGAAGATGCCTTTGCAATTAGTCTTCTGGCTCAACAGCAGGCTTGGATAAGAGCGCCAGTGTTTAATCTTTAAGCAAAGCTGCAGATGGAAAGGAAAAGGAAAGCACCAACCCCCCTACCCATCTCCCAGTCAATAGCAGATTGGGGGTGGTGGGGATGGGGGCAGAGCCACCAATGGCAGGTTTCTGGTCCAATGCGATCCTGGTCACTTGCCCAAACTGTATCCAAGATTTGGAAAGGGTGCAGGTCGGGGACCTAGGAGTTAGTTCCCAGCCCATGTGGGTGTCATTTTGCAAATTCTAATGTTGGTCCCTTAGGCTCAGCAGGGGGGGATCGCGAATCTGTAACTGCAACCGCCCCACCGAGAGGATTACAGGAACCCAGTCGAGAGCTGGTTCCCAACAATGAGGTTCATTTAAAACCCTCATTCATTTAAAAACCTCCCCTGACGGGGGAGGGGGCCAAAGAAAGAAATAGATCAAAGAGCGGGAGAGTCGGGAAAAGAAGGAAGAAGTGTTGGGTAGCTCTGGCAGCCGGGCCGGCAAGTGGAGTTTGGGAATATGCAGAGAGGAAAGGAAGCTGAAAAATTCAAACTTTTAAAATGTTACTCTTCAGCTCCTCGGCGTCCCTGCACCCCAACCCTGCAGCCCTGGGGCCTTGGCAGCTGCACCAACAGGAGCAGCAAGCTGGGAAAACAGAGCAACATGACCCGACGTGTTAAGAGAAGGCAAAACACTTCAGCAATTAAAAGCAACCCAGCAACTTCGCCCTTTCAAATTGGGAGGAGGAGGTTGGAAAGAAATTTAACAACATCCACTGGCTTTTGCTATGTACGTTTAAACCGCAGTCCTGGAACACTCCGACTTTAGAACTTGCTTTTTCAACACTGGCTGGCAAGCAACATGTTTTAAGGAGGCCCCCATTAAATCCTTACTCGCGGGACTCTAGAGTTCAAGCCAGCATTTTGCCGCCCTCCCCCCTGCCACCCGCCACCAAAAATCGACCAGCCGCAACGACTCGGCAACACAGGTAAGCGGGTCAACTCCAATGCCTCTTTCACCCCAAAGTTTGCTGCACGATCGGTATCGCGGGAATAAGCCCAACGGAGCTAGGGCGGACTCCAGCACCACTGCAAACTTGTTCTGCAACATCTTTTTGAATCACAACTTGGCCTCCTTCTTCCTCGCATATCCCCAGCTCCCCCAAAAGGGGAGGAAAACATCGTCCAGAGAGACTCACTTCCCCAAAGGATCTCCCACTCCCAATCCCACGGGTCAGCAATGCTGCTGGACAGATCTAGGGCGCACACTGGGAAACCATCAGACCAACAGCAAATTACGCAAAAAAGAATCGCCCAAAACTTGTCCCAATCCCAGCCCTCCTCCCAAGGCCCCCGGGCTGCCCCGCCAGGCAAACTTCGCCCCTCAAAACTCTAGCCTCCAGATTCGCACGTAATCCCCGCCAGGAACAGTTGAAACTCAAAGGGTGGGAAGGACGGGGCCAAATTCCTTCAAACTTGGGAGAAAAAAATCATCTCGCTGCACCACCTTCCCCACTGCCTTCCAAGACCCAAACTTTTGGGGGTTTTTTGAGGCAAAAGAAAAAGAGTTTTTGAAAAGCAAATGCTCCGCTCCACTATACCTTGCATAAAACTTCGCTCAAGTCGAAGATGGTGGCAGACACTAGGGTGGTGGTCATCCTGTGCGCTCGCGCGGGCCAGCGGCGAGGATCTGGTGTGTCTCGAAGGTCCCGGTGAGGGGAAGGCGTAGCCTCTCGGGTCTGGAGTCCCACACGCCAGTTCCCAGCGCCCCTCGCCTTTCTGACTCCGGGGCTGCGGCGCGCAAAGCCCGATTTATAAAGTTTCAGATTTGGTGGGCCGGGAAAGGAGGAGCTTTAAACTTATTTAAATGAGGAAGAGGAGGAAAAAGAAGTTGATTGACACTGGAGTTGAATCAGCCATGCGGTCAGGCGGGGCGGGGGAGGGGAGGAGAAGAAACTTTCAAAAGGAAGAAGGGGGAGGGGAGACGAGAAAAGAAGGCGGAAAAAAAAAAAAACCCACTCCGAGCCGCGCACAACTTTTTTTTCTTAAAGAGGAAAAGTTTCGAGTCGGCTGACTTCGCTACCCAGCGCTTCAGGCGCCCCTCTCCGGGGCCGCGCGGGCGCAGAGCGGGAGGGGCGCGCCCCCTCCTTTGTCAGCCTCCAAGCGCGGCTGTGACGTCACTCATTCCACTCCCTCCGGGGTTCTTGTTGTGGTGTTGTTGTTTTTTGTTGGGCAGGAAGGCGGGCTAGACTTTCTCTTTTTGCCAGCAGGAGCTGAAGCCCGTCCTTAGCGCCCGGGCTGCGGTTTCCATTTTGAGCCGGTGGTCCCCTTGAAACTTCCTAAATGTCTGCACAACTTACCTTTTCCCGACTTCTCTTACGCACTCGGCTTCCCTCCGCAAACCCGGCTGGCCGAGGACAGTAGAAATTTGGGACGCACAAAACGTTCAAGTCTAGGGTTTTATGTTGTTTTTTTTTCCAGCGGGGCGTAGGGTGGGGCGCTGTGCGGGGGGGGGGCGGACTAAGGAAACTTTTTCCCCAGGAGGACACGGCCTGGCGGGCGCGAGCGCGGCAGTTTAGCGCGCCGCACGCGTCCACACTCGCGCTCGCTTTGCAGCCGGCGCTCTCCGGGTGTGGGCGGGTGGGGGTCGTCGCAAAAAAAGATTACAGCCCGGGCCGATTGTTTGTTTTACCAGGCCTAGGCGTGGCGTTTCTTTTCACGCATCCAATCTTTAAACTTTTAGTAAAGAAAACCCTAATCCTTCCTGAATGCCCCTTACTTCCAGAAAAAGCCCACCAAGCAACTCACTACTTTCCACGCGCGCCCTGAATTCTGGGCGGCGCCACAACCCTCCCTCCTCCATCCTCCCCACATACACCTCCACTCTAGAACAATGAAAAAAGTTTACTTTGATAAGAAGGAAGGTAAAAAGGTGGACAGAGGCGGCACTTTTAACTTATTGTTGCTTCTCTCGCCCCCACGGGAAAGTGGAACATATGGCTTGTCACGCTGCGCAGTTTTGGCGGGAGGTGGGGAGGGGGCCATGGGAGCCAGGAAAGCGAAGGGCCCGTAATGAAGCATGACTCCCTTGAAAATGATAAAATATATATTTACTGTTATGTTTGGATGCCACCCACCCAAATATAAAGTTAACGTGTCCCCTACCCTCCCCCCCCCCCCCGCGCGCCTCTGCCCGGGTGCTGGCGTGATGACCCAGGCGGAAGTCGCAGGGCCGCGCTTCTTTCCGATTTCCACGCGGGCCTCGCCGCCCCCTCGGCCCTCGCACGTTTCTTCGCAGCACACTAGGCCGCCGAGTCTGTTATGAAATCCGGTGCTGCCGAGTGGCTAAGATTGAGTTCCATTGCGATGTAATTAGGTCACCCCATTATGAGCACGTTTCTTTGGAAAGGACGGGGCGGGCCGAAGAGAGCGCTCGAGTCACACTCTCACCACCCCCAACACACATTTTTTTTTTTTAACTGCATTTTTTATTTATTCGTCAACCTCTGGGCAAACCCAGCAAAACCTTCCAAATCACAACTGTTTGAGAAACCGGTTGTTTTCAACTTTGCGAAACACAACTTTTGCTGCAGCCACGAACCTACGTGATCCCAGCGGGATCGGCTTTCATTTGTCTCCTCTGCCTGAAATTGATGGCCCCCACTTTAACACGGCTGCTGCCCCTAGCCTGTTCTGCTGCTGCTCTCCAGCCGCCTGTTGCTTCTCTCCCCCTTCTCCCGTTTTTCAGCTTTTCTTTTCTGGCAAGCGCCAGAAAGGGAAATAACTTCCATCCACCTTAATTTCAAGCATTCAAGTGTAGGTTTCTTTCTTAGAGGGATGTTTGCTCGTTCCTTTCCCAGCCCCAAGTGGGTGTTGGGGCGGGGGGGACGATTTCGTGCAGTTTCTTGGTGATGAGGTAATGAGTTCCAGATTTCGGGACAGAGCAGGGTGCACGCTGAAACCACAAGGTTAGTCTGAGTTCTGATGTGAAACTATTTCGGTTTTTTAATTCCCCCGGCCTCCACCCATTCACGCTCCCCCAAAAAAGGGGGCCGGCTGGTTTTTAACTCCCGAGGGTTGGCGAAGCTCGACTGAGGGGACCAGAGGAGGGGCTGGAAAGAGGCAAAGGGGAAGGGGACCGGGAGCGGAAGGGGTCCCCTTCCCGGTCCAGGGCCTGTCCCCGCGGGGCAGCGGCTGTCCCCCTGCTCCAAGCAGCGCCGCTTTCCCCTCAAGGCTGTGGGACCGGCCAGGAGCACCATCAGGCGTCCCAGAATGGCCACAAAGTGGGTTTTTCCAAAGAAAGCTGATTCCTCGAATTTCTTAGGCTTTTCCAACTCCCGGCGGCCCTTCCCTCCCCCTCTCCCCCGGGGCGCAGGGTCCTCAAGGCTGCGGCTGGCCCGGACCGCTCGCTCCGGAGTTGTTTACCGGCCCCGCCGGCCGAGGGTTTGTTCCAGCTCCCAGAGTCTGTCTCTATAATTAAACTCTTTTTTTAATTGTCGGGTTGAAACGTCATTTCGGGGACTTTCCAAGGGTGAGGGAACCGAGGGGAGGGAGCGAGTTCCTTAACCCTTCGCTGACCCGGTGTCCCCGCCGCGGCTGGCCGGGGTGGGGTGAGGGTCCGAGGGCGGGAGCCGACCTGCCCCAGCCCAGACGTGCTCTGCCGGTGTCCCGGGCAGCGAGCCCCGACGGGGCAGGAAGGCCGAGGCGAGGCGAGGCGAGGCGGCGCGGCCGACCCCCACCAACTTCCCGGGGCAGTCTGCCCTCGGCTCCTTACCCCGCCGTGCCCTGGGTGGCCGCCGCCTCACCTGCACTGCAGCCTCCGACCAGGAGGCGGTGGGCCGGCTCCTCAGTCCCGGGCCCGACTTCCGGGCCCTCCCAGTGCGCCGGGAGCGTCCCTTCCCGGGGAGGGGCGGCCCAGGTATTTTAGCTTGGGGGTGGGGTGGGATGTTCGGTTTTGTGCCGGGGGAAAGTGAAAGTCCTCGGAGTAAAGTAGGCGCTGCGGATGTACATATTCAGCGGCCTATCTGGACCCCGAGCGCACCTCCAGGCAGGTGAGAGTGCGGGGCACTGGGCCGCGGAACCCCCCATCGTTAGGCCTAGTCACCGGCGTCAGCAGGGGACCACCCTCCCCGGAGCCCTGCAGTGTTGCACTTCCTCTCAGGCTTCAGGTCTTACTCCTGGAGTCCCCTGGTTTAAAGTTTGGAATGCCGATTTTTCGGCCCAGATGGGGCCGGGAAACTGCATTTTTGGTAAATTTCCATCTCACGACCCCATAACACTAATGTTTGAGAATCAGTGAGCCAGGACATTGAAGTTAAACAGTCCTGGATCCAAATCTTGGCCATTTTCTAGCTATGTGACTTTTCGAGTCACTGACCAAGGCCTCAGTTTCTTCATCTCTGAAACAGGAATTATGATAACTGCCTAAATTTGGCTCATAAAGTGCCTAGAGTTATGCCTCACTGAAACCCTCTATACACCATGTTGTTGTATTGTAAACTAAGCCATTTGGCAACCGTTATTACACCACAAAACAAATTCTGGGGCTATTCACTTGGCGAAGGATTATTCAGTGAAGACTTAACATATTAAATGGTCAACTGACAACTTTTAAGTTTGATCTGTGTCACTCTCTAGCCTCCACCCCCAGCCCTGGACAAGGCTGGCCCTGATGCCTGGAAATGGGGAGAGGGGCCTAGGCTTGGAGCCTGGAGAGAATAAGGTGGGTCAGGGTAGGGTGATGTTGATCTGTTGCCCATCTGAAAAATACCTGATTATTGACACAAGTATTTCTGACAACTACATCACTGGAGCCCTGTGGATAGTCCGGAAAAGCCACACTGTCCTATCTCTCAAAGTCCTCAAGCCCCTGGAAGAGCTTAGTGGATATTACTGAGCTGCCAGTATTCTCCTGAACAAGGCAGAGGTCTCAGGGGAGGGCACTTTAGCGGCACTGCAGGGCATCTGGAATTTTTGGGTTTGGGAGCAGGCTGCCTCCTGCTAGGACTACTGAGAATTCAACCCCAGGACTAGCATTGCCCTGGGGAGTCTAATTGCCTAGGTCTCTGCAAGATGTTCCAACTGTCAGTTATCAGGCTAGCCCACAGCTACACCTCTCCACATGCCTTAACCTGGGCCCCACCTAGAACCGTCCGGCAGAATCTGACTCTCTTACTCCAGCTTAGATTTTTTCGCTCCCCATCACCACTTCTCCCACCCTCCAGGGTACTCCCCATGCGCTAGTCCCTTTTAGATGAAAATGACCCATCTTCCTCCTGCTCCAGGGCCTTTGCACATGCAAATCCCTCTGTCTGAATCAACCTTCCTGTAGCCCAAGTAAATTCTAAATCGTTCTTTAGGACGCAGCTCAAGCCTCACTTCCTCTGGGAAAATGTTCTTGATGCTTTCCTTCCTCACAAAACAGCGCCCCTCCTCTCTCTTAGGCTCTCATGGAATGTTCATTTCCTTCAAAGTAGTTATTTCAGTTTGTCAGTATACATGCACTCCTGTAACTTTTTTTTTTTTTACTTTTCAGTTTAACATACAGTAAAATTGATCTTTATTTGGTGTACAGTTCTATCAATTTTAACTTATGAATTGATTAATGTAACCACCACAATCAGGAAACAGAACAGTTCCATCAGCCCTCAAAAACTCCCTCTTACTATCCCTTTGCTAATTCAGACTTTCCTCCATCTCTAATCCCTGGCAACCACTGATCTGTTTTCTGTCATTGTACTTTTGTCTTTCCCAGAATGCCATATAAATGGAATCATATTGTATGTTTGATTTCACACAGCATATACCATGTTGTTGCATGTATCAAGTTTATTCCTTTTTATTGATAATTAGTATTTCACTGTGTGCTTATACAATTGTTTATCCATTCTCCTGTGTGCTTATTACAATAGTTTATCCATTTTCCTGTTGAAAGACATTGGATTATTTCCAGTTTTGGGCCATTATGAATAGAATTTCAATAAACACTCACGTACAGGTTTTCATGTGAACACAAGTTCTTATTTCTCTAGGGTAAATAGGAGTGAGATTGCTGGGTCATATGGTAACTATATGCTGAAATTTATACATAACTGCCAAATCATTTTCCAGAGTGGCTATACTGTTTTGCATTTCCACCAACAATGTATGAGAGTTTCCAGTTTTTCCAAATCCTCACCAGCACTTAACAGTATTACTATTTTTTGTTTTAGTCATTCTACTAGGTATTTGGTGGTATCTCATTGTGGTTTTAGTTTGCATTCCTCTAATGATATTGAACATCTTTATGTATGCTTATTTGCCATCTGCATATACTGTTTGGTGAAGCATCTGTTCAAACTTTTTGCCTATTTTTTAGTTGGGTCATTTAGTTGGTT